TTAACGCACGCGTTCTAGCAATAGGCACGGCCGGTATCGCGGTAGAACGGAGATAACATGCCCTTGGGGGGAGTTTTGATTTGTTGAGTGTTTTTGCATGTTTTAAAATAAATTCAAGTAGTGATTAAAGAGTATTTTTTGGATTTTTTGATTGGTTTGTCTACTTGTTGATTTTATCTTGCCTAATTACTAGCATTGGTATAAAGTAAATAAAATTCAGAAAGATAAAATCCTACGCTATTACAACCGTATCAAACAACATAAAATGAAGGAAAAAAAGACAAAAGCAAGAAAAAAAAGGTGTCTTTCGATTCTGGCAGGAGCAGCCTTCGATTTGCCTTCTGTTGGCCTCCTTCGATTGGGGCTGGAAACAGCAGAGTCACGTCTTTCGATTGGGCCCTGGCAGAGGCAAAGTCCTGTCCTTCGATTGGGCAAAGGAAGCAACAAGGTCTTGTACTTCGATTGGGCAAAGGCAGCAGCAAGGTCCTGTACTTCGATTGGGGGCTGACACCAACATGAGAGGGTCCTTCGTCTGAGTATGGACTTAATGCAAGCGTGCCATCTGCCTTTCTGCCTCCTTCGACTGGAGACTGAAAACTGTGAGGGAATGCCTTTCGACTGAGCCTGGAAGTCAGTGAAGGCAAGCTCTTCGTTTGGGCCCAGAAGTCAACATGGCGAAGCCTTCTGGTTCTCTTTCGTTTAACTTGAAGAAAGAAGGTAGAAGCCAGAAGCTTCGTCCTATTTGTTGTTTCCTGTTTCTTGTTTCTTTCATTTGAACTTTTTGAACAACAACATGGCATAAGGCCATGCTAATATTACCTTACAATCAGTTAACACTTAATGCATATTTAAATAAACAAACAGCAAAACGAAAGGGGTTAACTCTGAAAACATATTAAATAGGTGGAAACAAAAAGAACCAGACTTTTATGTACATGTTATGCTAGAAATGAAGGGTTCAAGGTTAAGGATGACTTACCTTGCTTGGGGTTGGAGCGTGTGCTGGGCCTTTAAGTTGTTTCTTTGAATGCTTCTGGATTCGAAGGGAGGAACCAGGGGTTATGTCTTGGATACTAGATTCGAAAGAGAAGAACAAGGGTGAGGTTCTTCCTACTGGTTTTGAAGGGTAACAAAGTACAGGGACGTTTCAGATTCTAAGGGGATAAGTGTTTTTTTGGATGTTTTTGATTTCTGGATGTTTTGGATTTCTGGATGTTTTGGATTCTGGATGTTTTGGAATTCTGGATGTGTTTGAATTCTGGGTATTTTGGATTTTGGATGAGTGTTTGATTCTGGATAAGTGTTTGATTCTGGGTAAGTGTTTGAGAAAATTTTGGATTTCTTTGAATTTCTCAAGTGTTGATGAATCTTGAGAGTTTTATGGTTTGAGAAATTTTCTGCAGAGATTCGTCTGGCCCTTAAATCCTGCTTTCAAACATGCATTGGAGTCTTATTTATAGGCAGATTGGCAGAAGCATTTGGGGGGAAAACAAAATAATTTGAACAGTTTGGGAATGCTGTTTCGATCCTTTCTTATGTTGCTTTTGTGTTTTTCCATTTTTGTACAAGTTACAGGCGTCAGGTCTGGCTCTGCATAGCAGGTTTTTGGACTATTGTAGCAGGTTGGTGCAGGTTTTTCTGTTTGTTTTGGCACCTTACAGCAGGCGTGGGAGTAGCAACAACAAGTTTCTGGAGTGTTGTGGCAGGTTAATGAAGGTGGATTCGAATGATGCAAGAGATGGTGACTTTGTCCCATCGAAACTTGTCCAGACGAAGCAAGCATGCATGCAGAATGTACAGATTCGAAAGAGGCCAACATGAGGCAAGATGTCCAGATTCGAAAGAGGCATGTAGGAGGCAAAATGTCCAGATTCGAAAGAGGCATACAGGCAGTAAACTTGGTGAATCGAAAAGGCTTGCAGCCAGATATTTTCTTTATGGATGCTAGCATGAAGGGAAGCCATTGACTTGTGCGTTGAAGGCAAGCACAGAGGAAGCCATAGCTTGGTCAAAGTTTTCCTGTAGGAGGTTGCTGCTTGGTGAATCAAGACAAACTTGCAGGAGGCCAATGTTATCTGAATCGAAGCTAGTTGTTTCAAAGGGAAACATTGCCCAGTCGAAGCTTGTGACTGAAGGAGACTGTGTTTCCAAATCGAAGCTTGTAGATCGAAACAAACACATTGCCCAATCGAAAGTTTGTGTTTGAAAGAAGCAATGTTGCCCAGTCGAAGCATGTTTGCAGGCAGTAAACTTGTCCAGATTCGAAGCAGGCTTACAGGTAGCAACTCGTCCAGATTCGAAGCAGGCTTGCAGGCAGCAAACTTGTCCATATTTGAAGTAGGCTTGCAGGTTGCAACTCGTCCAGATTCGAAGCAGGCTTGCAGGAAGCAAAATGTCCAGATTCGAAAGAGGCCAAGAGTCAGTCGAAGGGTACTGAATCGAAGGAGACTTGTTTTCCTCCAAATTTGTCAAAATCATATTTTATCTGTTTTGCTCTTTCAATAGTTTCCTCTTTGACTTGATGCTTGAAAATCCAATATGATCCAATTGCACTTGTGCAGACTTAAACCCTGAGAATCCTGACCAGCACACATAGGGAAATAAACCCTAATCCAGGCTCTGATAGAATTGAGCAAGAACCAACCTTGTAACATGATGACAAAGTTCATTCCACAACCCCCTAATCAAGAACCATATGTGCTTCCTTTTTACCTGATAAGAAAAACCTCAAAACAAGATTAGACCAAAAGAGGGCGTAGCCCTAATACTTCAAACCAAAGTGCCTGATTCCCTGAGATGCGGGATATGCAAATGACTGAATAATGAAATGATGCAAATGGAATGCAGAGTTCAAAGCCAGACAAGAATAAAAGAGATAGGGCAAATTTGGGGTACGACAATAACCAACGCATAAAATATAGAAGAATGAAATAAAACACTTGACAAAATAAAACACTTGACAAAATAAAGAAACTATAACTAAAATCAACTGTAAATAAAGGTGGAAAAACCATTGATCAACTATCCATAATTCTAATAATGTATCTGCACACTCAATGAAACCATTAGTACTGAAATTGTTTCTCATAAAATATATGCTTGTTATCATCAAAACACGGAGATTAAACACATATCCATATCTTGTTCTAACACATTTGATAAATCAATCTCAAAAAAACATTACAATCTGCCACTGTTAAGATTGAAACAATCACGATTGACGAACTTTAACTCACATCAGAAAAATTAAAAGGAAAGAAAACTGCAACACATGTATGGAACCTGCAATGGCATAACCCTAACCAACCAACCAACCTAAAGCCCAAAGAAAGAGAGAAAAAACTAACTGTCGTTCAATGAGTCTAGGTTTGCAACCTTCGAGCTCTCCACCGCCTTATCAGTAGAAACCTTGGACGGTGGTCGATGGTTGATAACGATCTTAGGCTTGGACAATGATGATGTCTCAATTTCAAGTGCGGAACGGATTCTTTCAGATGCTCGACGAAATGCTTGAATCATTATTAAACTGATGGGAATCGATTTCTTCTTGCTTCACCCCTTTGAGAAGAGATGACGACGCTAAAAACAGTGGTAGTAGCAAGATGAGACAACGACAGACTACATGATGGTGGTGACGGCGAGACGAATGGTATCGTTCTTCCATGTTTCTAGATCTAAAACAAAATAAAGAGATAGAGAGAGAAGTTTAGAGTTTTTTTTGTGATTTAGGGTTTCAAGGAAAAGAGAGAAAAAACGAAAGTGAGGAGGAAGAAGAGGGATGAATGATTTTGAAATGAGCAATGCGGCCAATGAGAGACAAACACTTAGAAAAAGAAAATTTGACAAATGACATAATAACACTTGGTCCATAGTGAGTGAGTAGGGTATAAAGTTGGAGGCCATTTTATTGATTACCAAAATGCTCTTTTGGCTTTGGAAACAAAATTTGCACAAGGGGTATTATAGTCAGTTTGGCCAATTCTTTCGTAATAGCTATATAGTTTATGGTAAAGCCTTAAACAAAGAGTGGCCACTTTTGTACTGCCTTCATTTATTTATTTATGTAGTAAGAATTTTGATTATAAAATTATTTTCTGTGCAATTTTGACAAAAAAAGTTGTGATTGAGAACAATGTTACAAATGCAGCGAAGGTATTTGATAAAACATATCTTATAAAATTTTCTGGATTTGTTAGAGGAGGTTTGTAACCCCCACAATATAAAATATTTTTTAAATTTTTGACAGTTGTTTTTGACACGTCAACTTCCGTTAATGAACATTGACAAGAGAACTAAAATTATAGATGAAAAATTTTAGAAGGACTATTGTTTAAAAGAAAACTTTAGAGGAACTAAAAGTAAATATTGAAATATCTATAGAGACCACACACATATTTAACTCTTAATAATATAATAAAAAAATTTAATTTAATTTATTTCAAATAAATACATTTAATGACATGACACCTGTGAAAAACAAGAAAAAAATTTAATAGAGAAATAAAAATACTGAATTTAAACTTATTTAAAAAAATTACATTTAAACATTCATTCTAATAAAAGTATTTAGATTTAAATAGTCTTTTAATTCTTATAAATTTATATGTTTTTGATTTCCGTTTTTATATATTTTTTCTTAAAAATAATTCTTGAATGTTAAAATTATTTTAATTTAAATTTATAGAATAAAAATGAACAGGTAAATCCGTAAAAAATCTGCAATGTTTATGCAATTTTTACTTTGAAGACAAAAAAGATTATTTAAAGACTTTATAAAAAAAATACAACGAGGAAAATAAAAAACCGCTGGCTTACCGAACCAAAAAATTATTTAAGTCAAATATTTAATTAGCTTAAGCTAATCGTTTTAATAATTAATAATTATTTGTAGAAATAATAGCATAAGAAGAACACAAAATTCTTTTGCCACATAGAACCACTTTTCCCGATTGCTGCTAATCCAATTCCAAACGAATCATTGACTGCAAACCTTCAAGAAAATGGTAGTTATTGAGCATCAGGAAAGTGAGGATCGAAACCCTAATCCCTCAAACACCGGTACAAGTAACGACGCTTCCGACGGCTTTGAAACCGCCAGTGACACCGATCTCGACACCAATGACGGTGGTGCAATCAATCACCAAGAACGGGAACATCTTCAGCCACACAAGCAACACACTGAGCAAGAGCAGGACCAGGAGCATGGTGATCATCAGAAAATCATTTCCTCTGACGATGCTTCTATCAACGAAGAGGAACTGAAACAGGTGGCGAAATTTAGGGTTTTGTTAGTATCTATACTTAGGGTTACACGCCACCTCTGTATTTGTTCAGTTTTAATCATTTGATTGCAATTCGTTCCTATAGAAATTTGTGAAAACAATTGGTTTGCCAGTTTTCTGATGTTGATTGATTTATTCTTAAAGAAATGCTTCCTTATGATGAAATATAGTTTTTGATTGGTATGTTTGATGTAACAGAAAGCATTGGTTCAAGCAAATGAAGCAAAAGTAGAAGGGAACAAACTTTTTGTAGATGCTAAGTATGAGGAGGCATTAACACAATATGAACTAGCTTTACAAGTTGCGTCAGACATGCCTTCATCGGTGGAGATACGATCAATATGCCATGCTAATCGTGGTGTGTGCTTTCTGAAAATGGTATGGCATCCTTTTGTCCTGTTAATGGGAATAACTCTTGCCTGCATATTTGTGTATCGTGTCTTTCATATTTGTCAACAAGATGACCTATTAGTCTCAATTTGTTTTTGCTCAACAGCCTCTGCCTAGTGATCTATGTTGGTTCTTGACCTTTCTATGTTTGAATTCATTTTAGGCTATAAGAATATGGAAGAATAAAAAAAGAAGTAAGTGCTATTATCTGTTTAATTAAAAATAACATTTTGGTTAATGTAAGTTATAGTTAATTAAGATTGAGTTTAATAACCAAACGTTGACGTGATAAATAAGTTTGACACAAATGTCTGATCATACTTCACCGTTTACATTATAAACGGGTTTAAATAAATAATATTATGTGACAAGAATATGAGTTATGATCAGATGTCTGTAAAACCACATGTTGCCATTGTATCACTGTTAAAATCTTCATGATTTTATTTTGAAGAGAGGGAACTTACTATGGGGATGATAAGATATACTCGCAACCAAATTTGAGATGAAATCGGGACTGTGAAAATGTAAAGAATGCTCCAGAGTTACTTCTATACCACAGATCAATTAATAGAAACAGTCACGAGCTGCAGTAGGACAGAAAAAATAAGTGTAGACTGCAGAGTGTAGTCTCTGATAATAAGTTTGATTTAAGGGAAAGGGGACACCTTTAGAGATGTAGCCATTATGACCCAACCATAAGCAATTTAACATGTTTTAAAATGTTACTATATTTATGCTCGAGTATCAACCAAGTTTCTTGTAGACTTCAAATTTGAGGATTATTAATTTATTATGAATTAGCTCGGGTATGTACATAGTTATCACATATTAGTTCCCTAATGCTATAAATCTTATCAAAGTCTGGATCCCAATTTGTTTGAATCAATAGGCCTGTTGAAGCAAAAGAGAATAAGAATGAGAGTATGATACCCAGTTCTTCATTCTTGCCTCTGTTTCTTCTTTTTAGTAATATACATGTTGTCTTTTTAATGAAGTTGTGCTACAGAGTCTAACATCACTAGTGTTTTCTGTTTGTGATTGACCGAGTTGTTTCTTATTTTCTATGACACATATCTCAGGGGAAATATGACAATACTGTTAAAGAATGCACCAAAGCATTAGAATTGAATCCTACCTATGTCAAAGCTTTGGTAAGAAGAGGAGAGGCCCATGAAAAACTTGAGCATTTTGAAGAGGCCATCGCTGGTTAGTTCAAATTTTATAATAGAGCAGTGTAATTATATTAACGTTCTCTTAGGTTTTCACCTCTTAAACCTGACACAGGCTGTCTTTGGGAATGATATGTGCAACCCTTAATTTGTGTACTGCTCTGTTACTTGCACCCTTCCTTGTTTGAGGAGTTATACCTACATTGTTTAAGGGTGCTCCATTTCCTTTTGTGAACTACTAAGCGAGGGGCTTATGGTTTCTTAAATAAGAAGGATGTAAGGTGACTGTAATATAAATTGCTACCATCCGGATGGTTATTGTGACCACCCTTTTTCTTCTAATATGGATGACTTTCTTTTGCACACTAAAAGCATTTGGATTCTTACCAGTTTTCTTCCTTTTTCATTAGAGTCGTAACCAGATCTTTTCACTTGACTAATTTCTTTCTTTCACTAATTGACAGATATGAAAAAGATCTTAGAAATTGATCCCTCAAATGATCTAGCTGGGAAAGCCATTCGCCGGCTAGAGCCCCTTGCTGCAGTAAAACGGGAAAAGATGAAGGAAGAAATGATTGGTGAGTCTTTTTCTCTTATTGTGCTTTATTTATATATTTTTTGTATGGTGGTGTGTGGCCATGCTTTTATAAGTTTTACTGTGTTTCCTGTTTTCTTCATTGTTAAATGTTTGTTTTTTTGACACCATATTGTTGAATGTCAAGAGAGATAATTTAAACTCATTCTCACGTCTTCATCAAACAATTCAAGCTTCAGATAGACGTTCCTGACATGGTATCACAGCCTCTATGGCAAGTGATTTAAAATTGATATTTTTTCATCTCCGTTCTTCAAATAGTTGTTGAGTTTCAGGTCAATGTAGGTGAGATGTGTGATGGTTGAACTCTGTAGCTAACAAATATAATTATAGGAGTTTATGACTGTTGGGAATCAAAATCAAATTAACTCGCATACTATGTTAGGTACTTGCATCTAAACTTCATAGCCCCCAACATTAACTCACAAACTAGAAACATAACCTAACCCATTTTTGCAAGTTTGCAATGAACCCTAACATAAGATTATAGCTGGTTTATATATAATTTTAGGGAGTCTTGGAGGCCTAACATAAAGATATATTATTATTTTCTTCTTAGAAAAGCATTGATTAATGCCGTATACCCCTATGGATATCCAGGCAGAACAAGTTAGTAGGCTAAGATTATTCTAAACTGCACTTGGGGTGCTCAACCACTGCATAATTATTAAAGCTTATTGTAGCTCATTATTTTCTGGCAATTGCATAGATGTATTATTCTTTTTATAAAAGAGGTTTTATCTTTAACTGTCTGAGTAATTCGCAACAATGCAGTGTATGTGCACTTAATTTCACTTCGTTTCACTAGCATCACTTCCTTAGACAAAAGTATTTCTTGATGCAGCAAAACTGAAAGATATGGGCAACTCTCTCTTGGGCCGCTTTGGGATGAGTGTAGACAACTTTAAAGCAGTCCAAGATCCAAACACCGGTTCCTATTCTGTCTCATTCAACCAGTAAGTTTAGTTTAGCAAAGTGATGACAGCATTGGTTTTGAGACTTCGTTGTTCATGCAAGTCACTAGGAAAATTCAGATGTTCATGTATATTGTATGAGAACAAAATTATACTACAGTTTTATTTCCTTCAAAGGGGCATTGGTTGATTGATTCATCACATGAAGAAGATTGATAACAAATAAGTCTTAAATAGTTTTTTTTGGAAAAATCTCAAGTCTTAGCAATACTTTTATTTAAGCTATATCTGTGAGGGAATCTAACCAGATTGTTCATCTTTTGGGAAGGCACGGATTGGAGATAACATTGTCGATTAAACTATTTGAAGTTCCTACTTTTTTATTTTTAAAGTTGTGTTGACCGTCCATATCTTTTTCTAGAGGTTTCTAGTTGTTTAGTTGTTTCTTTGTTGTGGTGTAGCCCCCTTTCTTTGAGGCAAATTGTTTTTTTTGAGGCATTCAATGAAAAATTGGAAAAGTTCCATCCACGCCAAATAGTGATCTCAGTATCTTTTATTTGAAATCCTCTGTATCGTATGCAAAGCTAATGTTGCATAACTACATTTTGTTCTTACTATTTTTGCAAATAAACTTTCAATTGATTTTTTTAACAATCACTCATAGAACAACTAAAGTTATTTATTAAGTGAAGTGAAGTCGGTTACATAAATTAAAATATTTATAATATTTTAAAATTCTTTGAACTATCTTTTTGGATGAAATCTTAATCCAATTAATATAATATCATACGGGCTATTGACCACTTCAACCTTTAATGATTATTTGCAAGCAAGCAGTTTTTTTTTATAAGTAGAATAGAAATTCTAAATTGGAAAACTTAACTTAATTTTAGTCAAGGTTAAGTAGGTAATATTTTTCAGAGATCTTTTTTAATATATTACATTTACGGTGTATAATTTCCTACAAAAACATAGACTTATCCATGATTAAGCCACAGGTAATTTTTCAGAATTCTTTTTAAATTTATTTTGGTGTATAACTTTACTCACGAAAACTTATATTTTATTCACAAATAAGTTGCAAATAAAATTTCAATTATTTTTTGAAAGTAATCCGGTAAGAAATTTACTTGAATCAGTTGCTAAGAAGTGTTATGTTAAATTATACTCACATTACACGATCACTTTAACAAATTGAAAAACTTGTGTACGTGAAAATTTTCCTAATTAAAACAAAGAGAGAAGTTGACATTTTATGAATGTTGTAGAGGTCAAAATACAAATGGAATTAGGGGTGGTAAAATGGGTTGTGGCCAGTCAGATCGGTCCGCGTATCTGTAAAAAATGACAGGTTGGATTGAGATCTTGGATCCGTCGTCCGTTCTGTTAAAATTTGTCTCGCAAAAATCCGCCGTCTGCATCACTTATTCGTTCAGTCTATCTCGTTTTAAGTTTGTCATTTTTTAATTAATTTTAGTAATTTCAATTTTTTGTTGATTTTATTTTATATTATTTGTGAATATATGTAATATTTGTTAAAAAGATATTTTATAAATTTTTTTCTAAAAAATAAGAAAAATATAACTGAAATGTAAAAGAAAGCCTATTAAACTATTAAAAAAATGAAAATAAATTAATTAAAAAATAGGTATGCAAGCCCGCCGTCCGACAATCCACCACCTTGACGGAGTGAACTATATTTTTATATCCATTTTCATTTGGCGGATTTGTCCACTCATTTTTTGACGAGTTTAAGGCACGACATGACATGATTAGACAAACGATCCATTTTATCACTCTTAACTGTAATGATATGAGGTAAAATTTCTTTTTTGAACATAGGATGAAGATAATTTTTCACCATCGTATCTCATGTTGACTCATTATAAATAATATGTCCACTTAAAATAGGCAATTATTCACTGCATTCTATATATTACTCTCAAATTTTATAGAAACTACTAAGAAATTTGTGCTATCACACGAGTCTCGTCTGAATTTACATTACACGTCTACCAAACTATCATTTGTAAAGTTTGAATTCATTCTTCAATTGGCTAATATTCACATAGTTATAAATATAGAATAATAATATGCACCAACTTTTAAGTATTGATTTATACTTACTATAAATCGTACAGTCGAATATCTAACTTCAATTATATAAAACAACTACAAAAGAAAGATTTAAAAGTTGGATATTAAAATGAACAGTCTACAGCTGGTATCTCATAGATACGTTCACACCTACCTCTGAATCTTGATGAGTTAACAAACCTTGTTGAATCCAAATGAGTTAATTCTAAAAATTTATTAAACATATTTTAGATATTAGCCCATTTTTCCAAACTTAAAATGTATGACAGTTTCCATCAAATTTCAGTTTTAAAACTTTCATATTATATCCTAAAATAAATCAGTCTAACTATACAAAAGTATTCATTAATCTATAACTTTGTTTCTGTTCTGAACTGGTCCAATGACTAGAATTGGCCCAATCCGCTCCTACCTCCAGTATGGCCCAACAAGCGCTGATCCAATAACTATGGCTCTGGGTCGGGCACGTCTGGTCGAATATCCCGTGGGACTGCGAGACCAACAACACCGAAATCATGCACCTGCCTGTAACGGCGGCTTCCTCCCCGACCTGCTCGCTATACGTCGAGCAGACAGTGAGACTAGCACTCACAATGCGTCTGCCCGTCATCTCATCTCAGCTCGGAGCAACGGCTAGATACGGGCACGACTGCCCATTTTGACCAGGCCCTGGTAGTTATCTATTTTCATGGAATTTAATATCTAAGCCCAAAATAGGGACCATTGGCAACGCGTCGGAGGCATTGTATAAACCCTCACACTTGTGAGGACCAGGTATCAAATATTTACTCATAAAACCCCAATCTCTTTCTTGTATCTCTTTGCACTATTTCTCACTAGATCGTCGAAGTGCCTTGCAGGTACACCCCCTTTCTATCCACAAATTTCCAGCCAAGCAGACATTGTCATCTCGACCCACTTTCAAGTTCTGATCACAAGTAAGATCAGTGGCGTCGTCTGTGGAAATCTATATTCCCCGTCTTCCTTTTTCCCTCAAAACCGAAGACCAAAAATACCTTCACTACTTTAATCATGGTCGACCATGATGACCATCACCTCTCTGGAAAGATTGTACTCTCTCCTATCCACAAAGCTGACGAAATCCAGGAGCATACTCACCTCGAGGATGACATCAACGTCAGAGATGGAAATACTGTGTCCCTAGATTCACTCGATGCCAAGCGCGAGAATATATAATTATTGGACGAATAGAGGCCCAAGAACCTCGCCGAGGAGCTGCTAGAGATCATTCAACCAATTCATATTCCTCAGAGTGCCGATTCAGCCATGGTAGCATTGCTCGCTGCCCTCAACTAAACCAACGCCATAATCCTAAAACAGAGCAAGAGGATTGGGGCCTGGGAGAAGAAGCGATCGAAGTCTCCTCCTCGGAGACACTGACGATGCAACTCTCCAAGCCTTTCTCCACCAAGGCGTGGTCGTTCAACCAGAAGGGAGCAACAAGACATTCCTTTCCTCAAGAAATATGACCGCACACCTCCTCGCATTCTATCGGGAATAACTTCCAGGAGGAGCTTCCAAATCCAGCATTCCCTTGCTCGTTCGAGCGCGCATGGAGAACTTCGACGTCGGGCGCATCTTGGTCGACCAAGGTAGCTCGGTGTGCATAATGTACACCCAACTATTCAACACTCTACAATTGAACGATACCCATCTAACCTCATACATGGACTCGAATATCCATGGGTTTAACAGTTCTGTCACCAAACCTTGGGAATATGTCGAGCTGATCGTCACCTTTGGGGCAGGTGAAATGGCCAGATCAATCAAGACCCAATTTATGGTAGTGGAATGCCCATCACTCTATTAATGCATCTTCGGAAGACCCACTTTGGTCGAGCTGATAGCGGTGCCCTCCACCGTGCATCTGAAAATGAAGTACTACACCGCAAAAGAACTAGTCTCCACCCTCCACGGGGATGTCCAAGCTACAAGAAGGTGTTTCGAAGCAGCTGTCAATGGTTTGAGATCCATCAGCACTCAACCCAGGGTAGCCAGTAAGCCCACTCTCCTCAGTAGCTCTAAGGAGCCGAAGCCATTACCACACGTCAACACGATCGACATGGACAACCACTTTACAAAAGAGGATCTCAGAGAGCAGAAGAAGAAGGGGAAACAACCCATGGTGGACGCTGAAGGTCCCTCCTTGTCAACAAGGAGTGAGGATCCCGTACACCCGGTGCGACCAATTATGGATGGGGAGTTTGAAATTATCCCCCTTGGAAGCGACCCCTCTAGAGGAGTGAGAATATGCACTGATCTCCCTGGCTTGGCGAAGAGACAGCTCGAAATTATGCGTAAGGAGAATGGAGACTTGTTCGCTTGGAGCCCAACAGAGATGTCCGACTTAGATCCTGAGATAGCTTGTCATCATCTGATAGTAGATCTATCCTTAAGGCAGTTACTCAGCATAGGCGCAAGCAGTCTAAGGAGAAAACGAAGGCTGCCGAGCAGGCTGTAAAAGACCTCCTAGAGGAAAATTTTATCTGTGAAGCCCAATACACAACTTGGATCTCTAATGTAGTCCTCATTAAAAATATAATGGAAAATGGCGCATGTGTGTTGATTATACCGATCTTAATAGGGATTTCCCTAAAGACCCTTATCCTTTGCCCAACATAGATAAATTGATAGACAATTATGCAGGTTTCAAATTACTTTTGTTCATGGATGCGTACTTTGGCTACGACCAGATCCCCATGGATAAAACGGACAAAAAATATACGACCTTCATGACCGAATCGGGCAACTATTACTACAATGTAATACCCTTCGGCCTGTAGAATGTTGTTGTACCCCAAAATTCACCCTCTTCATTTTAAACCTAATTATCTTATACTTTATCATTATAATGCATACCTACATGTCATAGGGTCTATACTCATGGGATCAAGGCTTTTCTCTGTGAAAAGAATTGTGAAAGACAAT